TTCAAGTACCAAGAGCTAGGATTCGACAGTGACATTTTTTGCATTAGTTTTTTTCGAAACTTTTTTTCCGCAGTCTGGGCACAAGCAGTGTCTAGGTCTGTCAAAGAACCAAAATTGAAGCAACACCTCTGTAGAAGTCTTGTCGAAATCTATTCAGTGGGTGGGATAGAGTAGCCCACGAGTATCACAGATGTGCCGTTGTCGCGGCTCGAAAGTGCGCGACAATGGCGCTAGGGTTTTACAAAGTCAGCTTTTGGCGACTAATCTTAGCATTTGGACGAGTTACGTCGCGCGCCTCCGTGGATTACGGGTAGCAGCTAATTGACAATGCGCACGGGCTAGTGGAGCCGTGGAGCAAGTGCAGTTTGTACAACTCGTCTGGCCCCACCCCTTCCTTTTTCAAAAGGAATTCAGATTCTGAGCTAGATCGACGGTTTTCATCCCTTTTTTAAATTTTTAGTCAACTGGGCATCCCCAAACAATTAACGACCGCTGTCACCCCATAAATTCGATCTGGGAGTGTTGCTCGAAGTCAGTCGGCTAGACAAATAGTGAAAATGAATCTTCCAAGTGGATGGACGCTCACATGAGGCTGAAGATCTCGCGCATGGAAAGGGACGTGGCAGGCTACTGCGTCGAATTGGAGATGATCACGGTTGTAATGTCCTCCCACCAGATGTGCGGTGAGGCCAGCATATGTTGCGAGAGATGCAAACAGCTGCTTTTCATATTATCCGCATGCATTTCTGCAGAAGCTAGCAGAAATGCCAACTGTTAGGAAAGTGGCGACACGTGGATGCCTCCTCATCCCGAGAATTTCGCATGCAATTGTTTGTGCTGTGTTTCGCAGTTGACATTAACATTAGCCTTTTTCTAAATTTATAGGCAAATATAATCACTGATCCACTCTGTCCGTGAGTATCTGGTTGCTGAACTATCGACCCACAGTTTTTCATCTATTTACCTGCAGAAAGCAACTTAGGCGAAGCAGAAAGTACACAGTTAGAGTCAACTGGAGACGGGCGCTGATTGAGCTTACAGGAATCTTCCGCGGAAAAAGCTCCGCCTCCATTCAGTGATACCAAATTCTCACTTAAGGGTACAAAAGCTATGTGCGAGCACTGGTGGGAAACAGAACGGTCACATACTGCCCTACTCGCAAGAAGGACACTGCTCTAATTTAAAGGGTTCGAATAGCTCTACTGGAAGGGTTTTAATTCGCTCAGACAGGTTTTTATACCTCTAAATTTCTAGACCCGCAATAAGGAATGGGCCCCTCGCTTATTTTTCCCCCCGTTTTCTGTGTAATTCTTTTTCGATTTATGCTATTGGTGAGCACATAAGTTCCTTGACATCAGGTTCGGATGATTGTGTTGTGGACGAATACCGTTCAAAATCAAGATACATCTGAAGTAGTGGGTTGTAGATTTAAACGCACTAAAAGCCGAACTTTTTTCAAAGGTGGACGTGTTGCATTTTGTGGCAAGGCAGAGCTTCCTCTCAAAAGGTTTGGGCATTCATTCAGATGTTCTTATGCAACGCACCTTGCAGATTATGTCACTCTCGCGACATGTCACTCATCGTTTGCTGTCGTAATGCTTTTAGTTGTAATTCTGTTCTTTGTTAATCGATGTATCTTAGTTTCAATCGTCTGTTGATATCATCCTACAAATAAAGATGAGATTAAATTCCGGAGCCAATTTCTGAAATTGGCATTTTCGTTATTATTGTGAATGTGTTTATAAGTTCTACCTACGGTTAAGAGAGTGGAACAATTTCATTCTGGCCACGTTTCGACGAACTCGGTGCGATGGCAGAAAGAATGACTGGCCTCGCAATTGCAGCGTTACGCGTCAAGAAGTTTTATCATTATGTTAGAAGTCACTTACGTGTTTGTCAACGAGCGCACGGGAAACACCCAAAACATGTAAGATAGTTGGTTGATTGGTTAGTTAGGGTTGAAATAGGGAAGACGGGGACCTTGCCCAAACAAATGGATTCAGGCGACGAGTTGGACACTTGCGAATTCTATCTGTTGCGTCCACTAGCGCAAGTGATGATGCCGAGTGTGAAAGTAGCTCGCTTGACATTGACAGAGTTACGTATTGGCGTAAGTTCGCGACAGTTGCCGCAAAGCTGTAATTAAAAGGCGGACAATGGGATTGGAGAACCCAACAATGAATCTTTCTCAAGACCCGCATGATTTGCCTCTTTAATCCAGATCCGTGGCAGACGGTGTCTCTCACGCTCAACACGCATTTAACACATTGACGACATTGAGACGCGGTAACGCGTCTCACTTTGCGCACCTCGTTGGACATTGAGACGCGTTACCGCGTCTCACCCTTATCATCCCTTTTTCTAGGGCATGCGCAGCTTTTTCCCGAATTGTTTGTCTCTCTTCTATGGATTAGAACATAACATTATTGTGAACGACATAGGTCATTGTTTGTTCAAATATGCTCCAGTTTAGAAGAAGTTTTCCAAGCTCACCGAAACCGGCGGCTTGGTTCATTAATAGTTTTCATGCTATTCTCATGAACACGTCAATAAAAAAGGGTAGTGAAAGTAAATGCAAATCTAAAGAGACAGAAAAATACATGTTTCACTTGGTATAACCACATCAAAAGAGCTTTTGGCATCCACTACAGATAAAATGACTAAAATTTCCTTTTTCATTACCATTACATGTTCTTTAATCGGAACTTCGTCACTATATACTCTATTACCTTCTACGCATTGACTGTTACTGAGATGTTTTTGTACCACTGGTGCTTTAAAAAGTTATCAATAAAAATTCACGGATCCGAGGTGCGGCGGTCGCACTCGCAAAATCGGCCCGGTCCCACACGGCCAAAAAAGCCAAAACGCGCGCGGTCGTCAATGTGTTAAATGTGATAACTTCGTATTGCATGATGACCCAACCCAATCAATGCAATCCATCTCTGTTGAATTCGCGTATTTAGGAACATGTATAGAATGCTACAGTGTTGTGCAGTGCTGTGACGAACGAGAAGAATCAAGGTTTATTTAACTTCGAGTATTGGCAAAGCCCAATACCGTTATCACAAAACATGTAAAAATCTAACATGAAATACATATCTGCCAAAACAAACTCTCTCTATGTTTGCCGTTCATCTCGCATAAGGATTTGCTGCAAAGCAACAGTGTATTGTTCGGCTGTGATGTGATTCTAGATAACATTCCGAATGATAACAGCAAACGCTCTTGTGAGGAATAGGCTCTACGATACGCAATGCTTCACAGAAGGTTGCTTACATGCCTGAAATGGGAGAAAATAGGGATTGCGGGGTTTCAGGAGATCTGTCAACCGTGAGCCTTGGCGGTTCAGCGTTGTGTAGTGATGTCTGGGAATCTCTCACAAGTGCACACTATCACAGCATCTCCTCTTTCTTTACTTCTTCAAAAGGCTTAGTCCCAATAAGACACAAAGTGTGTGCTTTTGAAGCTACGCTCCCACCTTTGGTTAACGGAAGCCATGTAACCGGATCTGCGGGCATAATTTATCAGAACTAGTCTGAGGCATGCATCTGGCAATACACCCAGGGGAAAGCTGGAAGGTTTCATCGCAGTAGACGAGAGCATCTAGCTCTATTGGGCTATGCTGAAAAGTGTGGACCGTTTAGGCAGGGCCAGAGAGTGCGATTCCGTCGCGCGATTTACGCGAAGCGAGACGCGACATAAACAGGACCGATTAGTTATTGCGAGGTGTTTCCAATCCCGCACAATTCTCAGTGATGGCGTGGCCTTGAAGGACGACCATGTTATATTCTATTACTTCATATTCAGTGTTTTGAATGTTCATATGGGGTAATTGCGAGTCCGCGAGTCGCGCGGGTCGCGAGACGGATCGCGGACTCTGACCACGGCTTTGGGGAAGCCGGAAATAGAAGAAAGAGCACCAAAGTTAGAGCATGATGGCAATGAATCCAACAACAGGTGTACGATTTTGGCTCATGAGATGGGGATTTCTGCGCGAAAGCGTTGGAAGCGTTTTGATTTCATTCCTAAAAGTCAAGAGAGGGAAACCGAAACTGTGTCAGTTACAAATAACTCTCGCGCCTTTATGCAGGCTGCGAGTTGAATAGTTTCGAGCGTGCTATGGACGCAATATTCAAAACTTAGCATAGGCCGCACAACAAAATAGGTGTTTGCTACTAAAGATACAAAACAATTGTAATTGAGTGTTTGTTTAGAGCCCGTGGTTTAATTGTAAAACAATCATACTTTCCACATCATTGAATGTTTCAATTTGAGCATAGTACGTGTCGTTACCATCTTCATCATTTCAGAGGATGAGGCAATGCGGAACGAAGATAGATGAAGTCACGAGTAGCGTTCGCATTGTTTCTTCACACTGGCGGCCCATTTGCTGTAGAGTTCATTACCTCCCCAGCCAACCGATCCCGAGAAAATCCTCGCCCCAGTGTTTGCTTCGTTGGCTACTCTTGTTATTATGTTTGGCGCCGATTTATTTGGAAAGTACATATTTCCTCGAAAAAGAAATTCTACTAGGCAAGACAGTACACAGGTAACTAGATTCCCCACCCCCCCCATAGTAATGTCCTTCAGTGATATACGAAGTTATACGATATCGAGCTACGACAAGTTCTGAACGAATACCAATGAGTACGCCTATTTGCTCTGACAAGCTGTCTAAACAGTTGCCGAATGCCGCAGCTTTCTACGAAGTGTTGGCATTCTGCATTTTCTCGTGCAATATGCTGTGTTGGCGTCATTTCACGGACTGCAAGCCGTTGTTCTTCATTGGATCGGATGGTTTTTATTGCACACCGTTTTTTGGTCGATGCACTTATTTCTATTGCTTTTATTATGATTTATACAGCACTTCGTGATAAGTATGTTCAGTCTCAGAACTTTGCGATCATCGAGTTTAACCGTATTCCGTGTGACGGCATTTTCGTTTCAAGCTTGGAACTATCTCATTTCACCAGTCACTTGCTTCCTTTCAGATCACTATGATTAGAGGGATAAACCCAATATGGCAAGCCCTCGTTGCTGGATGCTTTACGTGGGGTGTGACGGCGCTTGGAGCATCCCTAGTGTTCGTTATGAAGCATCAGAATCGAAAGTTACTTGGTGAGTTTTTCAGAGTTGTTTGAGGCCTAGGATATCTTTTCATCCATTTTGTTTAATTATCGTAATTTTCAAATAATAAGGTTTATTACACAAATAGTAAAAGAAGTATCATATTTACTTTGAAACTTATTTCTTCTTTGTGCCAGTGCAGTGTTTAACAAACAACAGCTGATAGCACGTTAGTATAGTTTTGCTGTGGCTTGCTGCACTTTTCTTATCATGAGGCTCTTTTTCACTACCTGAGACTTAGCAGACTTCTCAGCGAATATTTCAACTGAAGGGGTGATTCATTTTCAGTGATTTTTTTCAACTAAGTTCTTTCTAATTTAAGATTTATTTGGAGTACGTACTATAAGGAGTACATACTGGCCAATGGCTCGTTCAGCAGCCTCCCTCAGTGACTTTTAGAAGCAGTAGATTAAATGAGACTGAACTGTTTATAAGGAGTGTACGTGTAATGCATTACGTGTTCCCTCTCAGAACTCACAAAAAGGGGAGTAGGGGAAGAAATCGTGAGTTATGGAGATGCATTTGTTTCTGTTATTCATGCAAGGGTTACGTTGCCTTATATAGAAAGCTTCGAGGGTCTTTCTAGCACCGATGTCGTTCTCGTAAGCTAAAAGAACCGAAATGCGTTCGGTCGGTCAATTTACACAGCTGATTATTATTCTTATTCTGTAGTCATGCGACAGGAGTGACCCCATCTTTCCAGCAGACAATTTGTGAGTTTTGATAAGGTCGTGGAAGACGTTTCATCCTTGATTTTGCAAGTGTTTTGATGGGATTTCGAGGACGTGAATGTTTTCTCAGGACCATATCTGCATTTGTCGTGCCCGCGACATGACACTGTAGTGGACTAGGCTTGGAGAAACAGTTGATTGATATATACTCTAAGTTAGTAGTAGCAGTCTGAAAATCATATTGCTTTTATTGGAAGGAAATTGGAAAAATCGCTCGGGCGGGTTCCTCAAATTGACAAAGTTTTATTTCAATTTGTGGAAATATGAAAATCTCGCAAAGATTAAGAGAGTGATGTTTCTTTTGTAGATCTCAGCTTGGGTTTTGCGGCTGGAGTCATGACAGCAGCGTCGTTCTGGTCGTTACTCGCTCCGGCTATTGAAATTTCGGAGAAGACAATGGGATCACTGGCTTTCCTTCCAGTGGCTGTTGGATTTGCCGTTGGCGCGGCATTTGTACATTTCGCTGATCGGATGCTGCCCAGGTAAGTAGCTCATTTTAGAGTGATTTCATAAATAACGTATCAAGGCAACTTTTTGACCTTATTTGCTCCGGTGCGCCCCAGAGACTTGCAAAATCCTAAACTTAATAGATACTTCCATGAACGTGTACAGGTTTAACTGGCCCTTTCCTTGAGTCATTAAGTCATTAGGTATAAGAAAGAATATGGGCTTGAATTCATCGTACTCTGTCGTTGAAATTTGCGGTCTCCTCTGCCTTAGTTTTGAATGACAAATAATACCCTTACTTCGAAATAATTGTCAAATAAATATGGTTTCAAATTCGTCTTTAGAGTAGAGCTACAAAGAATTCCAAAAGAGCTATACATTACTCCCCCATCAAACCCTACCCTTCTTGTGTTACAACGTCGCCTTTTTCATGGAGCTTGTTTCGTAGTTGAGAACTAGTCAACATTGAAGCATTCTCGCATTTGGCTCGAACGGACAGATTTCGGGCAGTCCATATTGAGCCTTCTGAGATGAATTCATGGAGCTGTTCTAATTGAGAAATAGTCAAAATTTGTGAAGATTCTCGTATTTGGCTAGGAAGGAAGATTTCGGGCACCAGTATTGAGCTTTCTGAGATGAATTCAGCAGTATATTTTGTGTTGTCGTCATTAATTCATAGTTCTCCAGAACGGCGATATACCATTTTGAAAGTCAACGTGTGGTGGATACGAAATTGATCCAAGCCTAACAGCTCGGCTTTTTACAAATGCAGGAGAAATTTGTTATGCATTTCACTGCCTCCCTCTTTTTGCTTTTTATGGCATCGGTTGCGAAGCATCAAGTGATCAAAAGGAGCACAAGCAACAGATAAATTCGAGAAGAATCGAGAAAAAGAAAGAGAAACAGATAATTCAGTGACTTTCAGGTGTGCTACATATTTGCAGCGCCTGATGAAAGCTCTTTTATTTCTAAAAAATACGAAAAATTGGACTACGGATCGGGAACGACTCTTTCCGTAAATTTCGAGTAAACAGGATGAGGACCCCCTAGCTAGCTGGTTTAGATGGAGTCTCTCTTTCTACCTCCGCTTAAGTGTCTCTTTGTCATCTCTGTGCATAACATCCTTACTTCCAATAGAGCGCTATTTTTACAATTTTTACAATGTAAGTTTCGTGTTCGGAATCACTGAAGGATAAAAGGATAAAGCATTTGCCGTTGATCAATCCCTTTTGGGATGCGGCACGCATTCTACTTCCATTTGTACATTCGCAGTGGCATTTTGAATGCGATGTGGCCTATACAATGACTTGCGGGGGCCAGCCGATGTTCAAGTCAGTGTTTTTATCCTCCCAGACAAGTCTGGTACCAATTAACCGACCCCGGAGGGATGGAAGGCTTGGTTGGCCCGGGCGACTCACGACCCAGGATTTGATCCCCGGACCGCTCGCGTGGTAAGCGCGCCACTTGTCACTACACCACTTCCGCCCAAGATATTGCGATCCTAATTGGTATTTCACTCAATTTACTATTGCTCATGTCTTATATCCAGAAATGTGTAGTTTAGATATGACTAAAATCTGCGAATGTGAGTTTAGTTAAATCAGCGCGAACATAAGAGTTATGTCAACTCTTTAAGAGCTTCAGTTTATACTCTTTTGCATGATATAATCCAGCAGACTCTGGGTAAAGCAAATGCTGCAATTTTTTCGTGCAGTTAGGATAGATTCCTGATCACAATTATAGAGCAATCGAAAAATGTAAAAGGCAGCTTTTGTCAGCGGCTTTCCAAAAATCCTGCACAATATGTGGATTTTTATGGTTACAACCTATGAACTACTATTTTAGTTGTGTGATGGGCGATACTGTTGTAATGGACTACTTGGCGCCGGCAAAAACTGAGACGCAGTTATCGCTTGTAACCGCCTCCAATGGATCTGAGAGCGGATCGGCCTCTCGGTACGACTCTGTTACCTCCAAATCTTCAACTTTACGCTGTCGTGGCACTAGAAATAGGTGAGCCACCGCCCTGTCGCCACCCACACTCACGAACTAAAAGTATATCTGTGTTGTTCGCATTTTTCTGGAAACCTTGTGTTTCTAGCTTATACACAAACTGCGTCTCACCTTTCGTGCTTTTCTATAATTTGCACATATGTGTTATCCTGGGCGGTGGTTCCCCTTCCACTAGTCTTATAGGATCCTTTTTTGCAATTTCTTTGTGATGTGCACTTTACCCGTGTTCAGCGAGCATGATTAGCTGCTTGGATAATTCTGGCTTTCTCTTCATTAATGCTTGAAACATTGCATGTTCTTAGTTCTAGGATCTGTCGCCATGTGTCAAAGAATTGTAGGCCTTCGAACTCATGTTCTTAGTCTAGATGCGTGTCGCATGTGTAATTAGGAATTTTTAGGCCTTCTGAAGCTCAAGAGATCTGTGAAGAGAGTGACTCGGCAGAAACACGTGACAAGGAGACGATGCGTCGTCTCGAAGATGAATATCGGTCATCGTGGAGACGTATCATGCTTCTTATTTTGGCTGTCACAGTGCACAACATACCTGAAGTAAAGAACTCAAATTCTGGTTTGGTTGCAACTGACGACATTGTCACACTGAATGCTCATGTTATAGGGTCTTGCTGTCGGCGTAGGATTCGGTTCCATCGGGAAAACTGAGGCGGCCAAATTTGAGACAGCGTTCAATTTGGCAATTGGTATCGGACTTCAAAACTTTCCTGAAGGATTGGCTGTTTCGTTACCATTGGCAGCTTTTGGTCACTCGAAACTGAAGGTAAGTGTTTAATTGATCTTACACAAGCATCTTTAGTCGATTTTGGTAACTTTAACTCGAGGCTATAATGTTCAGAAGAAGTTAAAGTTATTAGCAAACTATCCGCAGGCCCTCAGATGGCTTACCGTCACTTGAATCCATTTAAGGCGTTTCTGACGGGCCGGATGCTCAAATGGGCGTAAACCAGCATGATTGTTAGATCGGTGTCAAACTTTGCGAATCCATGGATTCACTGAATCACAGGGTACGAGCGATGCATCAGCGATTTGAACGATGCCCTGGCGGATCGAACCATACAACAGTTCAAATCTAGTGCCTTGACTGTGTGTGAAAGTAGCGGGAGCCCCCTAGTTCTTACGTCCGCTCTCACCACTTTCCCGGGTCTCGTGCCCTCTCATTCTCTTATGTTTTCGTGAGTCCGGGAAAGTGGCGAGAGCCAACGTGCGGACGAGAGGGGCTTCCACCATTTTCAAGCATTGTCAATTGCATTGTTCGCTGATATATTGTTCGAATCGCTGGTACATAGCTCGTACACCGCGAATCACTAACTAGTCCACGGATTCGCAAGGTCTTACACTTGCTTCAGCATTTTTTCACCCTCGTTTTTCATCACTCCCAACCGAAGCATCAAGAAAATGAAAATTTTTGACAGAGCTGATGCGCGCCTTCACTTGCTCATTCTAGCAAGACAAATCAATCCAACTCCATTAATGAGGCGTTGACTTTGCTAACTTGACAAGAAGCGATCACTTCTCGTCCATATTCCGTTCCCAGTTCCAGTTCGGTTTCCGTGAAGAACTGTCTAAAAGCGAGTAGAGATTCCCGGTTCAGAACTTGCAACGTTTCTTCCTCTAATTCTTACCATTGTGAGAA